GGATGAGCCCTGGCCAGGAACCTATAATGGCTACCTGAGACTGAAATCTAACCTGACTCTGTTACATGGAAATCTATACTTCTTCCCAGAACCTAATGCAGTAAGCATAAATAGAGTGAATTAGTGAGGAAGTGATACCTTCCCTACTTGCCCAAAACCACATTTAAGCATATATAAAAATTTCTCTTTCAACCTACATTCCACACATTTGATCCCACACATTTATCTGAAATTGCTGTTTGCCTCTACTCCAAGAATGAACAGTAAGTATTTTGATTCTAACTCAATCAGGGAGAAAAAGAAATCTGAGTATGAGAGGATTCCTCAATTTCCACTGTGACCCACACAAATTCCTAAAACAGTTTCTCTTATAGAATGTATACTGCATGGAGTCTTTAAAAATGTATTCTGTACAAATCCACAGAATTTACAAAAGTTGACGTTAGGATTTCCTGGCAGGATTAAGTGAATGCAATGGAAGGGTGCTTGCTACTCTCTAAATACCAGAATAACACAAACCTTGGTTTTGTGGCAATCAATTGCTGAAGAAAGCAGACAGCTTCCTAAGAACACCACCTATATAGGTGAGGACTCCTTACTCTGTAGCTTGCAGCACATTACTGATGCTCAGTGATAGTAAAGGGCGATTGTATTTGTTGATGATTCAGACAAAAGGCAGTTAGGCACTCAGGCTAAACTTGAAAGGTAGCAGATATCTTTGTTTTCTCCCTCAGATTGACGTCACACAGAAAAGCAGTACATAACTAAATAATTGCTCAGCAATTTTCATGCCCTTGAGCTCAGTCACAGTCCTCATATCTTAGCGATCCTTAGGGCACTCAACAAGTTTATCCTGTCTGTTTTTCAATCAGATTGGTTCTACTGTGTTTTCACATATAGTTTCCTGAACTCCCCTTTAAAAATAAGTTACATGTTACTGAAAACACCTCTCTCCTCTTGTCGTTGTATAAAATATAATAGCTTGCCTCTTTACTAAACACAAACATTTCCAAGGGAGAGCTGCAACTGCATGGATTTCTAGCTAAGAACGAGGGATGAACGCCTAGGAAAGTGGGATAAACTCCACAAGACCCTGAATTTGATCCCAAGTACTGCAAATACAAAGAAAGAAAGGAAAAAGATGGGATTAATGGGAAGCCAACACAGAATTTTACTCCAGCAATCAACACAAAATGGGCACAAAACCGTCTCTCTGCCTAATAAAAACATCATGTGCTAACTCAGAGGCCAG